TTAAAAAAATGCACTTTTGAATTTAAGTTCCAAATCTATTTACTTAGCGAGTATGAAATAAACTATTTTCTCAAACGCATCTACAAGGACCTTCCTCTAGTTTTTTCATGACTGCTTACAGTATCCAATACGATGTCCGGTGTCACAACATGTCTACGTTTCCCTGGCCAACTAAATGCCGATCTACGGAAATTAGCAGTTAATATGGTCCCATTTCCACGTCTGCACTTTTTTATGCCTGGTTTTGCTCCATTATACGCTCGTGGAGCAGCTGCGTATCGGTCAACAAGTCTCAACGAGCTCATTCAGCAGGTTAAGAGAACTTCTGATATATAATTAAAGAGTCAGCTCAAAAAAGCTTTCTTTTGGTCTTGTATGACTTAAAAGCTTATATAAATATGATTTAAATAGTGATCGCAGTCATACTGTTGTATTTATTAAATGTGCTAACTTCTCAGCTATTTGATCATAAAAACATGATGGTTGCATGTGATCCTCGACATGGACGATATTTAACAGTAGCAGCAATGTTTCGCGGAAGACTATCAACCCATGTAAGTATGAATGCTCTGTAACATAGCTCCAATTTTTGATAAGTCTAACTGGTATTAGATATTAACTACGAAGTCTGTACATATAAAAAACAGGACTGAAAGATGACAATGGTAAATGAGAAAGGTATTGAAGAATTGATTGTTAATATTTCAGGAGATGGACACTCAAGTGTATCAAATGCAAAATAAAAATTCTTCGTACTTTGCTGAGTGGATACCAAACAACATAAAAACTGCAGTCTGCGATATTCCCCCCCGGGGTCTGAAATTAGCAGCCACTTTTCTCGGCAATACAACTGCAATTCAAGAAATTTTTGTACGTATAGCAGAACAGTTTGAAGGTTTGTTTAGTAGTTTTTTCAACGTAAGTCACTGACAACTGAGGTGCTTTTAGGAGACAAAGCTTTCATTTCTGCGAACAAACTTGGATTTACGTTAATGACACTTGCAGCTATGTTTCGTCGCCGTGCATTTCTACACTGGTATACCGGAGAGGGAATGGACGAAATGGAGTTTACAGAAGCTGAAAGTAACCTTAACGATTTGGTTGTAGAGTACCAGCAGTATCAGGACGATGCGGAAGATTTGGGCGACGAGGATATTGATCAGGAACGCGCTGAAGCTGACGATCAAGAATAAACACAGGGGTTCAAGGGCTGCATAATAATTCTAGCTTTAAGAACTGTTTTAGAAGTGCCGCCTGGGGAATAAAGCTTATGAATTAGGGTTTTAAAGAAACTGAAAATGCACGAATTTTGAGGATTATAATACCAGACAACTGTGTAAAAAATTTTTAATTAAAACTTCGCAGCATGGGATTAATCGACCTCTAAAACTGTGTCTTTAAAGTTGTTTTGATTTTATAGGATGTTTATGAACTGCCACTAATTGGAACCACCCTTTCAACTAAGAATTTCCAATTTTAATTTTTTTTTTACTATCAAACCTTACAAAAACTTAAGTTGATATGTCTGAAGATGAAAGAGAAGATCATAAATATTAACTGCAATATCGATCTTTTAAATGCCTCTAATAGTGCTCTATTCAAAAATAACACTTGTTAACTTCGTTTTTCAGATTTATTTGTATTATTTTAAGGTTATACCTGAATACCACTCTATATATTCGCATTTCGCTGTAATTTATTGCACTTTAAGTATCTCGTTGATGTCTGTTCTTAACGCAGAGATGTGCTCGACCGGTCGCCGACGGCGCCTTGTATGAGAAACAATAAAGTTAAAGTGATGACATGATTGCATTAAAAAATACGGTGCAACACAGGGGTTGAATGCAGTTCGATGGAAAGTTTACATGAAAAAGCCCACTCCAAACGAAGTTATCTGTGAGAAATAAACCAATGCTATAAATTATACTTTCGATATATTTATAAACGCATAGTTGCTGCATCATTAATGAAAAGATCATTCAAACGACAACAACAAAGACAACACCAACAATATATATATATATATATATATATA